TCCCCCTGATACCTGTTGCAATCATCTCTGCTATTTATTTAATATCTCGTTAAATGCTACATGCAGTATTTATGAGTTACTTTTTCTCATTAATCAATACCATATATAGATATTTCATTGTACTGCTGGGTGGGGAAGCGATGTTCTCACCGCTTGCATACTGCGTGTATTAAACTGACCTTGAACGGTTCTGAGGCGGCGGAACGAAATGTTGCATGTGCCGCCGCCACTGCGGTTGCACGACCGCAGCGTAGAATATGCCTTTTTGTTGTGGAATCCCCGGTGGCCCAAGTGAAGCCACGGTGAGGCGTGCAGCTTGACCTTTTTCAATTGTGCTTTGATTTCCATAATATATTTACCTGTTAGCGTTTGATTTTAAAACATGCATCCAGTATTTAACCACCCCCTTGTAACCTTAGTTATCTTAGGCTATGTCTACCAAGCCCCTCCCCCTCCTGCAATGATTACATGTCTGTGTGGTATAATTAAGATTTTACAAAATTTTGTTTGTATTAATTACCCTTTGTAACACCTTATCACGCATTATTTTACACAAACTGAAGACGTGAATGAGAATTATGGGGAGATGAATTGTGCGTCTCATTCATAATCTGATTGTACAAACGGTGGGCGGTCGCGTGAACACTGACGTTGATTGAAATCAAAATGTTTGACTCGAGCTTTCAGAAACTATTTACAGAGGCACATTTGGTAACAAAATTAAAGGATTCGACTTCTCCATGGCAACAATGATTTAACAAACTTCAGACTAGTAATACAAGTCTGAGAACAAACAGTGTGTATATATTAGATTATTTTCACCTGAGTAAGTAACATTAAACATGCATTAAATAAGCTAATGAAGTCATTCATAATGACATTATCCGAGTTATTTCGTACAACATTTCTGAAAATCTTATTATGAACCCCAAACCAGCTGGGGATATGACTGTCTGTCTTAGTGATAATACGCTGACCGCTTTATGGTTCCCGGCGTTTGCGTTAACTGTACTTACCCTATGCTCACATGGCACCACACTATTGAATAACGCGATATTTTCATTCAGTGTACCTCTGCATATCGGTAATACCATAGTCACGTGACCATAATAATTTGTCTCGTTATCGAATTTATAATCAACACTGCTCAGTCATCCATGCTAATGGATTGCAATTCAATTGGACAAGCGACCTTCGAGACTTTGTATTGAACGTTAATAGACTGTAATCATATTGCGAGACAAATACACAGTGTGTGCCACAATATATAGTTATAATATTAAATTATTTAAATTGTATTTCAATAAACGTCACAACCTTCGGGGTATTTGCGTTCTCGTACATTTTACGTCGGAGCGCATATTGAATATTGTTGCAAGTCGTTCATTTTATCCCTTGTTTCTGTCAACTTTTCTGCTGAGATCGTTGTCTTCAGCTTTGAGTTGTACGATCTGTTCTTTGAAATTGTCAAAGCAAACACTCACGTATGTGACGGATTATTGTAATTCCAGTAGTTTAACTTCCATGTCAGTTAGTTTGTCTACATTTGATGTCAGTTCAGCTAGGCTAGCTTGAATCTTATCCAACTTGTTTTCTTTTGAAGTTCCATTGTACGTTGGTCGGCCATTTTCGGTGACTTTGGCGCTGGTGGAAAGCGAACAAGCTGACGATTTTTTACACAGATGTAAATCACCTTGGAACAGCTTAGCTCTTGCTTGTCCACAGTCCTGGCACTTCATCCTTATATATGGAAACGAATATATATTGGTAGTTTTTAACGTGAAAACTTGAAAAGTAAAGACAAATTTTAGGAGTGATGTGTGTACATTTACTATGTATTTACTTGCTTCTGCAGTGTTTATCATGGCCGTGCTGTCGCCCTCTGTGTCTAATGGTTTGAGCGATTTTGTTTTTATCAGTATTCTTTCCTAACCTGTCACTTGAGTACGAAACTCATGTTTGTTTAAACAAACCTTGCTTTACGATTCATTCAAATCAAAACGACTAGCTGTGTTTGGCTGCGGCATATTGGTATCACTATCCGCGAAGTACGCATGTACCCAACGCCAATGATGACAGATGGCGATAGTAGTGACGTCAAGATCGATAACGCTATGATTGGTCAAATGATGATATTTTTTAGGTGATTTATAAAGCATAAAACTTAAAATGACTTTCTATATCAACATAGACTTGAGAGAACAAATCAGCGAATTAAATTGGTTCAACGCCTGAACTTAGCCCAGGAGATAACAATTGCAAACTATCGTTCGATCGTAGCATGGGTCCCGTTTGTACGTCTAAGTCGTAACAAAAGTTGAAAACTACCATCATTGGGCGGTTCCGTATCAGTTTATTTTACTTGCGCTCGATGTCCGTCCGCCATTTTATGTAAATAGTAGGTACTTATTTACTAGGGACTGAGTAATTTTTCCCTCAACTAGTAATACATGTAACTTACATGTACATTGGCACAGTGCATTATTTGCTCACTCAGTAAGTTTATAAGG